GCCCACACACCTACCCTGTAAAAAATGTTAAAGATCTGTACTACAAGACATATTAAAGTTACTAAAAAGAAAGGAAAATGATATCAAGTAAAAACCTACATCTATATAAAGTCATAAAGAGAGTGCAAATGATACATGTATAAGCAAACCAAAAAGAGTCTCCTTCACTATTTAATTCCTTTAAAAAAGTTATTTAGCAAGTTTTTCTTTTTCTTTTTTTTTTTTTTTTTTTGAGATAGGATCTCACTATGTGGCCCAGGCTGGCCTAGAACTCACAGGGATCCTCCTGCCTCAGCCTCCCAAGTGCTGGGATTACAGGTGTGCACTACCACACCCGCCTTAAAGAAAATTATTTAAAAGGAACACAAAGTAGGGGTCTGGGGATTTAGCTCAGTGGTTTTGCCGCCTGCTGAGCAAGCGCAAGGACCCGAGTTCGATCCCTGGTACCAAAAAAAAAAAAAAAAAAGAAATACAAAGTAGGATTTAAAATGTAGAAGTAAAATTTTAGAACAGCATAAAACAGCAGATCAGGAAGGACAAAATGGAGTACATTATTGTAAGGTTCTTATATATGGGAAATAGTATAATATTATTTGAAGGTAGATTACAGTAAGACAAAAATGTACATTGTAGGGCCAAGGATTTATCTCAGTGGTGCCACTGCCTGCCTCTCAAGTGCAAGGTCCCAAGTTTGATCCCCCGTACCAAAAAAAAAAAAAAAATTCACTGTAAACTAGAACACACACAAAGAAAATAATAGGACAACAGTAGACATAAAATGGAAAACAAACTATAATCCACAATTAATAAAGAAGGCAGGAAAAGTAGAAAAGGAAGATAATGAAGATACAGAACACATAGAAAACAAATAGCAAGACAATAGATCTTATCATTATATATAATAATTTAAAATAGTCTAAAACAGCATGAGACTGGATAAAAACATTACTCAATTACAGAATATCTCAAAGAAATTTGACTGAAATATAGACACAGATTGGCTAAAGTAAAGAAAAAGGGGCCGGGATTTAGCTCAGTGGTGCTGTGCCTGCCTCACAAGCACAAGGTCCTGAGTTTGATCCCTGGTACCGGAAGAAAAAAATAAAATAAAACAATAAAGAAAAAGAAAAGGATACTTCATGTAAATATTAATCAGAAGAAAGCCAGAATACAATATTAATATCAAGGTAGATTCCTCTTTCTGTTCTGAGACATTAAGGGTCAAAAAGAGTGACAAAAATCTTTCTCCCCGCCCCGCCCATTCTCCTGCTCCAGCCCAGATAATTCTATGGAAGAAGAAACAGAGGTAATGAAGAAACGAGCAAGGGCCAGGAAGACAACTAAAACTCTGAAGGAGGGGAATCATACTTTTTGACCAAAGGTAATGTGATAAATCCTCACTGCCTTTCTTCCCTTTATCTTCTCATTCCATGGCACCAAACACAAACACAATCACAGAAACTGCATGACAGAGAAATGGAATTGAGGTTTGTGCTTTCTAGATAGACAAGCATGAAGACCATGGGGATCCAGAAAATTTTGAGGAAGTCACGGAGAGAAAGTATCTCAAGAAAAATTGCCCATAAAGTTGTCTATTCTTAGGCTCCAGGGTAGGGGGTAACTCTGTGGTAATGTGCATGCTTAACACACAGGAGGTTGTAGGTTTAATCCCCAGGTCCACAACCAAATCAAAATTCTTAACCACTTAACAGTTTACCCCGAGCATCACCTGGGCAGCATGTTTATGTACTGACTATCCCGAGCATCACTTGGATTGGTGTCGATTCTTGTATTGAATAAATATGAGTTTTTATATTTCCTGTTATAAAAATTAATGAAAAAATATGCAAAGTTTTAGTCATCCTGTATTTAAATAATTGGATTGGTAAGTGCTTAAGGTCACTTATAAGTGACACTTGTAAAATCTACCTCTACTCAGCATACCAAAGTCTTTCTGAATTGAGCTATGGTGTACATCACTGCTCACAGGATAGCCACGGGATGCACACACTCCGGACAGATCCAAATTGCATGGCAGACTTTGACAACTGAACTGACACAGGAAACAGTTTACAGAAGGCAAATCCAAATGTGAAATGTGAACCTATAAGACTAATTTTCTGCTGACAAAAACAATCACATCTTCTTTAGGATTTAAACAAGATCTAAAGTCTCACAATATTAAAATATCCAAAATAAAATCCAAACTTACTGAACAAAGAAGCAGGGAAATATAACCAACTCACAAGTGAAAAGATAAACCAAAAGAGGCCTACCCCAAGATGACACAAATATTTGCAATTTCAGAAAAACATTTCAAAGCACCCATTATACCCATGTTTTAAGCAGAGCATTTAAAGAAAAAAAGTATTTAAATAAAAAAGATGTTAAAGAAAACAAGGAAATTTTAGAAATGAAAAAATTATCTGTACAGGCTCAAAGTAGAGGGGAAATGACAGAGAAGAGTCAGTGAACTTGAAGATGGATGAATAGAAATAAATCTAAAAAGCATAGAAAAATATTTAAGAAAACATTTTTGTAGATGCATGGGAAAAGAGACAAAGATGCATGCTCATCTCTACTGGGTTCTAGTAAAAGTAGAGGAAGTGTTTGAAAGGAAAAAAAAGTGACTAATGGCTGAACATGTTCAAATTTTGGCAAAAGATACCAAATACTAGATTCAAGAAGTTTGCTGAATTCAAAAGCATAAAGTCAAGGAAATCCCTGGCCAGACACGTCATTGTCAAACTGTTGAAAACTAAAGAAAAAGAATAAATCTTTACAGAAGTCAAAGAAAATGACACATTATCTATAGGCAAACAGTAATTTCAATGTACTACAAATACTCATTATAAATCATGGAGGCTTGAAGGAAACAGAAGCATTTTTAAAGTGCATACGAAAGTGAAATATAAATAGAGTTCTATAATTTTTTTAGTACCAGGGATAATCTCATTCTTTAATTTCTATTTTGAATGTATTACTAATAAAATCAGATTTATGCAGCACTTAATCATGTCTAAGGAAATACACTAATTTATTTAACTCAATAATTCAGTAAGATACACTAAATTATTACTCCATTTAACAAACAGGGAAACTGAAGCCTGAGAGTTGGACGAATTTTTTTTTTGAGACAAGAGTCTTGCTAAGTAGTTCAGGCTGGCCATGAGCCCACTGTATGGTCTGGGCTGCCCTTCAACTCACAGTGAACCTCCTGCCTCTGCCTCCAGGGTGCTGGGATTACAGGCCTGCACCACCATGCCCAACAGTTGGATGACTTTTTACTTTTCAGTGGTTTGCTTAACTTCACACTGATACAGGCAGGATTTAAACCCCAACATCAGGCGTACTTTCTTAACCACTAAATTATATTGTACATAATATTGTAGTTCTGCAGCATATGCACACATTTCACAAATAAATATTTACGTATTTGAAAGCAAAGTGGTTTTTTTTACTTGTTGCAAAATATTGAGGTTCATGATCAAAAGAATATGAAAAGATCAAAAGAATTATGAAATAAGAATTACTGAGAAACTAGGCCAGGGGCACATGTCTATAATCCCAGATGCTCAGGAGGCTGAGGCAGAAGAGTCATGAATGTGAGGATAGCTGGGCAACATAGTAAGACCCCACTTCACAAAAAAGGAAAAGTAGTGCTGATAATCTTGCCCCTATGTTTAAGAACATCCAACTAGGCAACTAACTATCTGTAGCTTAACATAAAAAACCTGTGAATTCAATCAGAGTTCTCAGGAAAAAACTGAGTCAAGAAGCAATCACATACATTCCAGAGATGGCAAACCTTTCAGAGCTTTCAAAGATGACAAAGAGCTGGCTGTGGCACACGTGCCATAGGTTTGCCACCACTGGAGTATACCAGTTTTTACTACATAACAATGGTTATTTCTTCGAATGGGCACATCTAATTGTCTTTAATAAGCAACACAAGCAGAGCCAATCATCTACATGTTCTTAGCATAACAGTATTCATAAACACCCAGGCTTAATTCTCACTTCATTGAATTTGCAACAGGTCCAGATGATAAGGCATGGGTAAAAGGAAATCACATGCCTAAGTAACAAAGACAACTTCTTACAGCAACCCAGACCTAATTTGATAGAGTCTATAATTCCAGTTTCAAAGTTCTCAATTCTATCTTTTATAAAATATTTTCATGTTTATCACCATAATTTAGGAAAAAATAAACTTGGACATGAAATTTGAAAAAAAAAAATAAAACAGGACTAATCTGAGTAGATTCAATTATTGTGAAAACAACACACACAAATAACATATAAATCTAATATATTAGTAATAATACTGAGGATGACTCAAGTAGAAGAAAAACCTTTAGCAATTAAGTCAAGGGTTGGAAGGATTGTTTGTCATATACTATTTGAGATGACATCACCAGAACAACAATTTAGAATTTGCTATAAGCCAACCTGCTCTACAGACCTTTAAGTTCTGGCAATGGAATCCTAGTCTTACTACATCTAATACGCCAGTAATATGAAGTCAATAATCCTAGTTAGGCTTGTACATTTAAAAAGAAGAATGAATAAAAACAGAGGATGAATAAAGCTTAAGCAGATCGATTCTAGTTTTTATTAATTATAATGACTCAAGAAACAAAAAGTACCCAGCACAGTGGCACATGCCTGTAATCCCAGCACTCGGGAGGCTGAGGCAGGAGGACTGCTGCGAGTTCGAGGCCAGCCTGGGCTACACAGTGAGTTCAGGGCCAGCCTGAACTACAAAAGGAGACCCTGCCTCAAAAAAACAAAAACACACAAAAAAAGAAACAGAAAGTGCATGTACTTTTTGTAAACATACTATATATACTAGATATTCAGTAACATATTCATCTAATACATTACCTAATACTTAGAAACTAACCAAAAAATAAATGATCATTTTAAAGGTAAACATATTTACATGCTAATACATTTCTATATTTTTTAAAAAAAGAAAGTACTAGTAATTTGTCTACCTTTGGTCCTGAAACTGGGTACATGGTATTTTTGGCAGGTATCGGATGAGGAAAGGTATTCTGGAATGCAAATGCAGAGGAGACAGGATAACCAATCCCACAGCCTGGGTAAGCAAGTCTATTATCAATCTAAAAATAAAAATATTTTTAAAAATTAAGGATGAGAAATAATTCTAAATAGTATTTGCTGATCTAGGAGGCAGTAGCATCTGTTAATAACAATTACTAGTTTAGAGCACTATCACAGCGACCAATTTTGTTATCATGATGTCCCAAAACTCTGCTTTATTACATAGTGTGAGGCTAAGATATCTTTCCTTGGTCCAAAGAGTATTCAGAGTGGCTGTGGTAGCCTGGATCAAGGAAACTAGCAGGAAAGTAGTTTGAACTCTATTAAAACACAGACTACTAAACAATCTTAGGTCACTAGGTTTCCTGACAAGGAAAGTGTCATGAAGAATAGCAGTCATATAAATAGCCCAGTCAGAGATAAATAAAAATAATTTGCTGCTAGACTGAGAAAGAACAAGATTAATGTTCTTTTTTTTTTGAGTCAGGGTCTCACTAGGTAGTTCAGGCTGGGCTTGAATTTATTATGTAGTCCAGGCTGGCCTCAAATGCATGGTGATCTTCCTGCCTCAGCCTCCTGAGTACTGGGATTACAGGCATGCACCACCACGCCCCGCTAGATTAATGGTCTTAAATGGGCTAATTCAGATAAGAATTTGCTTGGCACTAATTTCCAATTTAGCAGCACCACCAATGTCAAATCAAAGTTTATTTTTATAATAAGAGGCCACATGAAACACAGAAAAGCAATTGTGCACACCTGTAGCTGTACAGTGCAAACATCCTTCACCCAGTTGTTTATCATCAGGCATTCAGGTTAAGCCTATCAAATTTTTAAGTTTATAATTCAGCTCCAGGTACTTTTTTCTGCACCTTTTTCTATCTAGTAGAAATACTTTTCCTTTTTTAGATACGTAGTATTGTTCATCAAAGTAGATTAAAAATTCAGTTAGGCAGCTGGGCAAGTTGTCTCATGCCTATAATCCTAGCATTCTGTGGGGCCAAGGCAGGAGTCTCCTGAGGCTGGGCAACTGAGAGAGACCCTGTCTCAAAAACAAGGACTGGGCATGTAGCTATGTAGTTCAGTGTGAAAAACTTTCAGATAGGCTTTTGGAATTTATACTCTCTGCCAATGCCCTCTAGCCAAAGTATACCAGGTACACTTCTGTAGTATAGATGCTGGGTTTATTGCTCCTTGCAATGAACAAGACTGCATACCATGGGGAACCATGGAAGTATCTTGGTGAATGTCAAAAGAGAATTGATAGTGATTGGATTTAGACATGTCAGACCACTGAAGGACAAATATAAGAAAGTGAGACTTTACATGGACTGGAAGCTATCAGGAAGGATAAATGCATGACAGTGTCTAAATAGATCCTACCTAATCAGGCAGGAGGAATCTAATAAGGCTAAAGCTATAGCTGGTTAAAGCAGCAGCAGCCATTCATGTCAGCCAGAACAGAAGGATACTTGGCCATTTTGGGGCTTTGGCAATGTTCATATTTATGTCTATGTTCAAACATGATTTTATCTTGATTCATCATGGTTAAGGAGTGACCTTGCCTGAAACTGTTATATTCAACAAGATAGTCAAAGGCCTACTGGTGAGTAGAAGGCATATTCCTAGTGGCTCCTAGGCCTAGACACCTCATTATTTGTACTAGGCCACCTCCAGATGTAAGGAACTGCAAGGAAAACCCAGCTGACCTGGTCTTAGGAGCCAGAATGTTTACATCATATCACCAGTGTATTGTACTCTAGAGCTGACACAACTGCTAACAGACTTCCCCCTCCCCCTTTTACTAACAGAATTTGGTTTAAGCTTTTACCATTGCAGTTCCAAACTAAAGGCCAAACCCTAAATTCTTCCTTAAGTCTTCTAAATGTTTGTGTATTCATGCACATCCACATGTGTTTTAAAGTTTTTCAGCACATTTGGCATTACTTTAGTGAGACGTGAATGATTTCTACACCCAATAAAGCCTAACAAAAAAAGTATGCCCTTGAAATACAGCTGCTTTGCTAGAGGGAGACTGCCTCTTTTAAGGGCAACTTACACTTCACTTCATTGCTAATATCAGGTTTCCAGTCTGTATTAGTACCAGCACCTTAAGTCCCAGAGACGTCCTACAAATCTGGGAATGTTTTTATTTTATGACATTCTTTAATATCACTCACTTCTTATTTTAAATCTTACCACATTCAGGTTAGGAGAAATTCCACTTCTGATTGTGTTGCTGCTGGAATGTGCAGGTGGAGTGGTAGACGGTCCCAATACATCTTGCTTTTTTACTAGCTGATTTTCATTTAGTTCTTTATTTAACCATGTGATTACTAACATAAGAAAACAAGAAATAAAAGATTTGATTTGTTTTTATTTTTCTAATCATTTAAGGGCTGGGGATTTAGCTCAGTGGTTCCAGCGCCTTTTGATCCCCGGTATCAAAAAAAAAGAACATGTAGTCTAGTCATTTAAAATATCTGCAATTATACTAAGTTTTTTAAATGTCAAGTTTTTATAACTGCCTTATATTACAATTGAACAGTATAGGTCACTAAATTCTTATAATTAAAGATTCTTATTTTAGCAATTGCCACATAGGACTCCTTATTCTATTACTGTTAGCAGTATGTTTCTTTCCTTTTTTCTTTTTGAAACAGGGTCTCATTATGTGGCTCAGAATGTCCTTGAACTGGCAATTCTCCAGCCTCCACTTCCTGAGCACTGGAATTACAGGCATGCGCCACCATGCCTTGCTCAAAAATCTTAAAAGTTTTTATTTACGTAATGCTATTTTATAGTTTAAAGTTCACAATTTTATGTCTGATAACCAGTCCTAGGAAATGAAAACATGTTAGTTAAAAGCTTAATCTTGTATCTTAGTTTCAAATAATTCATACTATTACTATCAGGTTAACAGTAATTTTAAAAAGTAGTGAAGAATTTAAACAATAAATGAGTCAAAACTTTCAATACTTTTCATTTTGCATTTCTGACATGATACAGTTTTATCATGACTAACTTTTATAAGGTGTACATAATTTACTGTATCAGAGACACTGACATTTAAAGCAGAAATTTTCTGTACATAGTAGCATCTTGATTGACCTATATTTTTATGAAATCAGAAATTTCAGGCTAAGAATAAAACTACATGCCTCATTCACATAAAAATAGAAAATACTTACACTTTTCATTATTTTTTAGAAGCTGTTTGCTTTCTTCAAGTTTTTGAACTGTCGCTTCTAATTGTTCTTGTAATTTGCATACCTGAAATATGTCAATCCGCAGAATAAGTCAACTAAAGGTTAAAATAAAAACTGAAGAAATGCAGTACTATTAACTAAATGAGTGATTACTATTATTAAATGTGAATAAAGGAATTAGCCCAACTTTGTAATGAAATATGTACATTCTGTACATATATCAGCAATCTTAAGTATTTGAGTCATGATAACCAACTTTTCAAAGTGAGACAGGTTAACTTCTGTTGAATCTAGCTGTGCTTTAAAAAAATTGGCCAATGCTATTCTGTAACACAAATGACAAAGCAGAATTTTGAAAACTACATCTGAGAAAGCTTGATGTACTGTAAACAAGAGTCAGATCACAAAAACAGAAAATATTAACTACCTCTTGCTCCTTAGCTCGGAGAGTCTGTCCAACATCTTGTAATTCCTTTTGTTCCTTTTGTAATTTTTCCTCCTTCTCAGCCAATAGTTTTTCTTGCTGAATAGTAACTGTATTCTTCAGTTTCAACTTACCCATCAGAGTTTTCAGATCCCCTTGTAACTTCTTGATAATTTCATTTGCCTATAAAAGAACTTCATATGTCTATTTCTATAAAATCTAATGAAATATTAACAGTCTATTAAATTTTTAAAACAAACCTTCAGAAGTTCTGCTGATAATGATTTTATTGTAGCTTCAAGTTTTCCCAGTTGAACCTGATTTTTCTCACCATTTTCTTCTAATGCCACCTGGTATTTTTTTTAAAACATGAATAATTAGGGCATTTGTATTTGTTTATAGAAGTATCATTTACAAATATGACCATTTGTTTAGAAAAACTTTAAAGACCTTTTGTTCCTGGATTGTATCAAATGCTTCTTTTGTTCTTACAACAAGCTGGTCTTTATCCTTAATTTCTTGTTCTAAAACTGCCACTTTTGTTTGAAGCTGATTAATATGCTTTTCTTTCTCATGACATTCAGCATCTAATGTAGAATTCTCTCTTCGCAAAGACAGGACTTCTTGCTTAGTCCGATGCAGCTCCTAGAGGGTAGAAAAAAATTATGCATTACAAAAAAAGAAAAACTAGTCTGCTTACTTATAATTAAGATGTTTAAAATATTAAAAATGTCCAATAATTTTAAAGTTCTAACTCAGATTTTTATGATTAAAAGACATGAAAGTCTCTAATAGTATGTATGTTATGGATTTGAGATACAATTACAAAATATGACTCAGTCCAATCAAGAGAAAATCAAACAATTCTGATTTATGAATAATTACTACAACCTTTAAAAACTTGTAACAAAAATTTTGCGATAGCTTCCCAACTGATTCTAAGGATAGCCATGATCTACAATTACTATTTTTCTTTGTTGCTTTTTTTAAAAAGGGCTCATGTTAAAGTTTTGTAATCTTCCTTCTTCCCAGATATATTACATATTATCTTTTCATTTGAGAAAATATGTTAAGGTTTCTAGAGTTCCTTTTGGTTCATGCTTTAAAGTAAAATCAGGCAAATCATTATTATTAATTAAAAATAAATTTCTGAAAAGCCTAGAATGCAAGTTTGTAATCTCAGTGCTCTGGGAAGCTGAAGCAGAAGGATCTCAAGTTCAAACTCGGGTTGGGGAACTTAGCAAGACTGTCTCAAAATAAAATATAAAAAGGTATGAGGATGTAGCTCAGTGGGTTCAATCCACAATACTGGGGGAAAAAAACTTGAAATAGATCATTTCTCAATCAGCTAATACCAATGGAAATATCAATGGTACACAAAAGTCCAAGATACAGTATTTTTATGGAGTTTTAGTTTTTAACAAAATTTTAAAAGACAACTTATAGTATTATAGTACTATAATTGTTTCAGGAGCACAGGCTTTGGTATCAGACAGATTTGAATTCAAATCAGGTCTCATCTATAGTGTCATCTTGGGAATTACTTAACCTCCTCAAGTTTCTTTTTTTTTTTAGTACTGGGGATCAAACTCGGGTCCTTGAGCTTGCCTAGCAGGCGGCGAAACCACTGAGCTAAATCCCCGGGCCCCTCCTCAAGTTTCTGCTCCCTCATTTGTAAAACAGAATTGCCTAGCATATTTACTAAAATATAGTAGATAATTAATAGTAGCGATTACTTTTAGGGCATCAACACCTAAAATATATAATTTTACATAATTAGGTAACTCAATATTCAGAGGTTAAAAAAAAATTCCCCAAAACACATAATTTCCAAATGCTTTTGATTGGATTATATAAAAACCAATATAATAAAAGATTGTTAACAAAGTGGATAGTTTCAAGGTTAAGACTGAAGAAATCAAACAGTATTACAATGAAGTAATTAAACTACCAATGTACCATTTTAAAAAGTCTGCAATGTTTTACTAACTGCTGTGAAAAATGAAGGTTATAGGGAATAAAAACTGTAGATATCGTTTAAAGGCAGAGAATTCTGTGAGGATATGAACATAAAACAGGTTAAGCTTTAGCCTAGAGCTTCTAAGCATAACTGGTGAAATGGAAGCCTGGTAATCTGCTATTTATTTATTTATTTTTGAGGTACTGAGGATTGAACCCAAGTCCTCATGAATGATAGACAAGTACTGTACAATTGACCTGTAGCCCCACCCCATTTCTAAAAATGTATTTGATACAGGATTTCCCTAAGTAGCTGGGATTATAGGGTGTGCTACTGAAACCGGCTTGGTGATCTTTGCTTTTAAATATGATAAGACTTTAATCATAAACCAAGCACTGTGGCACATGCCTGTAGTCCCACTTACTTGGAAAGGTGAGGCAAGAGGATTGCTTGAGCCTGGGAGTTTGAGGCCTGCCTAGGTAACACAGCAAGACTCTATCTCAGAAAAACACAACAAAAAACAAAAAACTACACACATTTTCTGATAATTCATGTGATAATAATGCTAGGTAGAAGATAATCGTCAATGCCAAAGCATCAACAAATACCATAGCAGCAAGATTCTTCTTCTTTTTTTTTTTTTTTTAGCAGCAAGATTCTTCAATGTGATGGCCTGGGGAGTATGGCTCAGCTGTACCGTGCTTATCTAGCATGCAGAAGGCCCTGGGTTTAATTCCCAACATCTCAAAAAATAAACACCTTTCTGGTGCTTGGAAGAACAAGGTAGTACCACAGGCAAAAAATAGGTGGATTCCAATCTTTATTCTTCCCCTTACTGACCATGTGACACAAGGCCAGTAATTTAACCTTTCTCTGTGCCTTAGCTTCAGCATGTGTAAAATGAGAATAACAGTACACACCTTAAAGAATTGTTATAACAATTAAATTAATATATGCGGAGTACTTAAATAGTGCCTATCATGTAGCAAATGCTCAGTAAACATAGCTATTATCTTTACCTTTATCACTACCACTACTACTAGACACTAAGCTCCATACAGTTGCTTGATATACTGTATAGGCTTAAGGAAAGGACTAATCCTATCAACAATGAGTACCCTGTGAGATAAAGATATTAAACCAAGATTTAAAAATACACTGAAAAATCTGAGATTTGTGCCAGTAAATTACTCAAGATCCTAACTAAAAATATCAAGGTTTACTTCAGTTCTGTTCTGAATTATCTCTTTTTATCAAATTTCAGGTTCTCAATATTTTTTGCATTGTTTGAAATTATCATTAACATCTTAGAATCCCTGCAGAGAATCCAGAGGAACACTACCCACACAAATAAAATAATCAAACTAAAATAAAGTGAACAAATTAAAACACTTTTAAATTAGGATGAGAAGAGAAGCCAGCACTCAGTACCTCTTCAACACCAGAAAGTTTTGCTTTAAGTTCTCTAGTAACGGAGTCTCCTTTATACTTCCTCTCAGTTAGATCTTTATTAGCTGCTTCTAATTCAGACAATCTGTTTTGTAGCTGGTGGATGTTTCGCTGATGGAGGGTTTCTAAATCTTTTTTCTGTTGTTCATGCTGTTGTTGATACTGAACCTGTGCCTGTTATACAATAATAGATATCAAAGTAGAAAAAATGAGAAATATAAGTGTAGAAAGATCTGAGAAAAACAACCAGTTTTTTCTTAATAGCTGTCAAAGTCACCTCTTTCAAAAAAGGGTCACTATTTTAACTAATGGATCTTATGATGGAGAAAGTAAGGCCAATAAAGGCAGTTTTACCGTGTGTGTGTGTGTGTGTGTGTGTGTGTATGGTTTTCTTTTTCTTTTTTTTTTTTGTATGGTTTTCTGAGACAGGGTCTTACTAGTAGCCTAGAACTAGCCTGAAACAAGGCCAGCCTCAAACTTACTATATACACTAGGCTGGCCTCAAACTCTCCACCCTTCTGCCTAAGCCTCCCAAGTGCTGCAATTACAGGCATGCACAATCATGTCCGGCTATACATTCCCTTAAAGCCACAAAGGAAATCACAGATAACACATAATCTCACACAGCAAGTCGCTCTTAAATATTTAGGAATATTCCTTTCCAGTTATTTATGTACGTTATTGACAATCCACATATATACCCAACCATTTTTAAATTTAATAAATGAAAAGCAAGTTATACTATTTAATCATGCTTTTATTCCCTTGGCATTTGTACCTTTCACATCATTTAAAAACTCCTTTAAAAAAAACCTTTTTATTAGTACATATTAAAAATATAGAAGCAGATTGTTTTTGGCATATTGGTATGTGTATAAAACTTACTTTGATTATTTTTCATTCCCATTATTCCCTACTTTTTCTCCCTCCTCCCCGTATCCCATTCCACATCTCTAAATGTCTACCACCTTTTAGTTTCCTGTCATGTCTCATTTATTTTTTTTAGACTGCTCATATAAAAAAAGTGCAATACTGTAACTTTCTGAGTAGGCTTATTTCACTTAACACAATGGTTAAAAACACTTTCTGTAAAAATTATAACACCAACACAATATTCCATCCCAAGACTATAATTCACTTAAACCCTGCCCAAATAGGATATTTTTCAATTTTCAAAATTACAAACAAAACTGATTAATATTTTTGTACAAATATACACCCAAAATTCAGATTAGCTCCTTATAATCAAATAAGTTAAATTTAAATACTGTATAATACAATATAAAACAAATTCCAAAACTGTATTCCAGAAAAGTTGCTCTCACTCAAAGTTCTTACCACTGTTATTTTTTATAAAATATTCTGAGAATTTTACATTATTACTTTAGGAAGTCCCTCATTTTTGGAAAACTGGAAAGAAGGGGCAAAAGACATGAAACAGGAAGGAGTTCGTATAAAAATAAAAATGCAATCTTGTAAGAAAACACAGAAGCAAACAAGAAAAAAAAAACTACCACAAGCAGTAAAGTGAGGCTAACTGTAACTGTCTATAAGTGTAATCGAAGATTCAAAGACAACAGTAAGAGAGTAAAAAGAAATTATTTTGTTCTGGCAATCCTTAGAAGTTAGGGAATTTTCTTTAAAAGAAACAGATAAGTGGTAAGATTTCAAAGTTTAGATTTTCCACATTGTTTCCTTCTAAATCATTTGAATTGTTTTAGAAAACAGAAGAAAAAATATCTATTCTGAAGGAATAAATAATCTTTGGAGAAATACATGCAGAATGATAGAAAAATAACAAATGATCACAAAAGAACTTGTAGAAGCAATATATTTTTTTAAAAATAAATTTTATTTTATCCCATTACTTCCTCCCTTTACAGCCCCTCCCCTCCCTATGTACAAAAGCTTTGTTTCCATTTTTTCCTTCTATTTTCACTTTTTTTCTTGTCCCTTCCATTCTCCCTTCTTCCTCATTTCCCTTCTCATTTGAACATTTTCTTCCCATTTCCCGGTCTCTATTATACATTTTAGTCCTTATTTCCACTTTCAGTTTCTCAGACCAGAGAAACAATGCAGTATTTAAACATGTATGTACTACTTATTTCTCTTGAGAGTATGGTCTCAAGGTCCATCCATTTAGCTATAAATGTCTGAAGCTCATCCTTCTTTATGGTAGAGTAGTACTCCATGTTATTAAAAAAAACCTCACATCTTCTTTATCCACTCGTCTGCTGATGGGCATTTGGGCTGTTTCCAACATTTAGCTATTACAAAATGTACTGCTATAAACATGGACATGCATATATCGCTGTGGTATGATGCTTTCAATTCTTTTAGGAAGATATGAAGAAAGGGAATAGCTGGGTCAAATGGAACCTTTACTTTTAGGTTTTTGAGGAATCTCCACACTGATTTCCACAGTGGTTGCACCAGTCTACACTCCCACCAACAGTGGAGAAGGGTTCCTTTTTCCCCATAGCCCCACCAGCATTTTTTATTGGTTGATTTCTTGATAGCAGTCATTCTTTCTGGGGTGAGATGGAATCTCAGCAGTGTTTTAATTTGCATTTCAAAGTTATATTGAACATTTTTTCATATACTTATTTGCCATTTCTAATTCTTCATCATGAGAAGTGTCTTTTCATTTCAGATGCCCATTTTTAGATTGGGTCTTTAAATTTGGGGGGGGGGTCTGATTTTTTTTGAGTTCTTTATATACTCTAGATCATAGTCCTTTATCTGATGAATAGAAGCAATATTTTTCAACAGAATATTTTATATTGGCTATAATTTAAAAGGTACATTGTAGTTTTAGAACATCTGATGAGCAAGATGTTTGGGGGATGAATTTCTAACAATAAGAACAGAAAAAAAGATTAACAGAAAATTCTAGGAAGGAAAAAACTGATGAGACAACACAATCAAGAAGATAATTTTTAGCTAGCTGGAGCAGTGTATGCCTGTAATTCCAATGTGCTCCGAAGGTTAAGACAGAATGATTCCAAGTTTGAAGTCAGCTTGAAAAAAAAAAAAATATATATATATATGCATGCATATAGGTATATGTATTATACATATATAGTGTATATATAATACATATACATATACAGTATATATGAATTAAAAAGATGGGTGATTCTAGTTATCGCTGTAACTTTCCTCACAGAAAAGCTACTATAAACAAAGAAATTAATGTGAAAATAAGACTATTTAATATACTGCTTGCTATTTATTTGTTTGTTTGTTTGTTTTTGAGACAAAGTCTCACTATGTAGTCCAGGCTGGCCTCGAACTTGCAGTGATACTCCTGCCTCAGCCTCCCAAATGGTATATTGCTTTTAAAAAGAAGTGATGTGATGAAAATATCAGAAATAAGTATAAACATAAAAACAAAGTATCAAGAAATCTGTGCTAACTTTTCAAATGCCCCAAGTTAAATATGATGCCAAGGTTTTATGTCCACTTGAACAACAACAAAATGGCAAATACAGATAACACAGAATTACTGTATTCTGTGACACTCAACAATGGGAGAAGGAAGTTTATCTGTACCAACAGATATTGATGTAGTCATAAAACTAGAAAACAGTGTTCTCTGGCAATTGTTATTATAGCACATCCTTAGATCTGAAGTATCAGTAGCACCTGTTACCGTGTTAGGAAATCAAGTTCTTGGACTCTACCCCAGACCTACTTTATCAGAGATTCTGAAGTTAGAGCATAGCAATCTGTATTATAATAAGCTCTCCAGGTGATTTTCTTTAAAGTTTTAGAGCCATTATCCTATAGTATATCCCCTATAAATATCAATAGGAAGAGAAGTGTCGGCCTGGTTTTTAAGGTTCTAAAGAACCGCTTGACAATTCCACTCAAAAAAGGCAATATAAAATGCAAACAAATCTTTCAGTCACTTTGGAGTTATAAACAAATACACTTATAAAGGTATTTTTAATCTAACTTGTTTGAAAATATCAAGCCAAAATGGCAGGATTATATTCATTAATAGGGGGAAATAGTACAGAATTAATGAAACAAAAACCAGTTCTTTAAATACACTAAAAAACAGAAAAGCCATAAAAGGTTAAAAAAAAAAAGGACATTAAAAAAAAGGACAAAATGCCAATTAAGAAAATAAAAGAAATGATATGGGAGATTTGAAAAATCATGACAATATGATACTCTATTAATACATGTAAATACACAGGAAACACATGACTTAAGGAAATGTAAATTAAGAAAAAAAGAGAAAATCCAAACAGATCAATAATCATGGAGAAAATAGGAAAGAATTTAAAGATAAATGCCTTGAGTGTTAAACAGAAATGTCAAAAGGCTAAGTGTATCAAGTCTTCAAAGAACAGAAGCTCTATATTTCACTTTTATTTTCACTATTTCAAAAGAAGGCATAAAGAAAACAGGAAAATGTTCTTTCATTTCATGAGGCCAGTATAAGGCTAATATCAGTGTATAGCCCATAATTATAATAAGCAGATCAATATGAAGGAAAGGGCAAACTCTGACCACTACATTTATCAATTTAAATATAAACATCCTAAATTAAATGCTAGCAAATTAAACCAAGAGTATATTATAAATCGCTATGACTAAGTATTACTTAAGATTAAAATTTTTATTATTTTATTTTGGGAGAGGTTTGAGACAAGGTCTTGCTATGCAGTTCAGGCTGGCCTTGAACTCGCTGCACTCCTCCTGCCTCTTCCAACTCCTAAGTGCTGGGACTATAGGCATGCACCACCACACCTGGCCAAGGATATAATTTTTATCTAGCACTCTTCTATATAAGAAAAAAGGAAACAAAAATCTTATAAATAGATAAGGTACTCTTTTTCATAGTTTATCTATATACCTGAAAAATCTAAGAGAATCAACTCCAAAATTATTAAAAGTAATACATAAATTTAGTGAAGTGGCTGGATATGACATAAATATATACTCATAATGAACAGTTAGAAAAATTAACCACAATAGTGGAGATATGAGAGTAGATGGCCCCATTTATTGACCAAAACCAAGTAAAATCACTACACAAAAACTTGTTAGAGAAGGGAAGAGGAGGGAAGGAAATAAAGAGTAAACCATAAATCTGAATTCTTTTGTTTTGCTTTTTTTTTTTGGTACTGGGGATTGAACTCGGGTCCTTCCGCTTGCGAGACAGGTGCCGCTGATTCTTGATTAAATGAAGATATACACACACACACACACAGACACACACACACACACACACACACACACGAGAAAATTGTAAAGATATCAGTTCTTAACAGTCCAGAGAAAAGCCCTATTATAAAAGAAATTTAGCATGTAATAAAAGTAGTGTTTAAATTGAGGGAACATGATATTGGAACAAGTGAATGACTATATGTTCCCCCCAAATAGGCTGAGTATATAGATGATTAGCAGAGCTCTTACCTCACATGTATAAAGCCCTGAGTTTCATAGTCAGTACTGGAAAAAAAACCTACTTCATTTTGTACTCCACAAAAATATATTTCAAACTGATTAAGGAGGTAGATACAACAAGAAAATTAAAAACTACCAGAAGCTGGGCATGGGGACAGATACCTGTAAGCCCAGCACTCTTGGAGGCTGAGGCAGGGGAACAACAAGTTTGAGCCCAGCCTGAGCAACTTAGCAATTTAGTGAGATCCTGACTCAAAATAAAAAATTGCACTGGGGATATAACTCAGTGTGAAGGCTCAATACAAAAACAAAAAACAAAATCAAACCTAGAATACTTTTCATAAACTTGGAGTGGCAAAGGCTTTTTAAACATAAAATGGAACTTTAAACCACAAAGGCAATGATTGACAGATCTGGTGACATCCAAATAGAAAGAACAGTATATAATAACACCTACTAGCAAATGCAGACCAAAGAAAAATGTTTATTATACATAATAAAGTATAATATTCTTGTTTTATAGTATTAAGAAATGAAAAGGTAAGCTATAGAGAGAAAATATTCACAATGCCTATACAGTAAGCTCTCCACAATCCTTAGGTTCTAATAGCAGATTTAAAATATTAAAAAAGAATCTATAGAAAATTTCAAACTATAAAACTGAAATTTGCGAAGGACCAAGGAGTCCACTGAATCCACATGAAGTGATGGGTAGGCATGCCCTGCAGTAGCCTCCTGCCAGCACTTGCTCAAGCAACACCTACTCCATGTCGCCTTCCTGTACTGTGTAGTTAGGCTTACAATGGTTATACATACCCGTGTTCTATATGTATGGACTTTTGCTTGTCATATTCTCTAAACAATAGAGTATAGCAATGTTATCTACAGCATTTACACCATATTAGGCATTAAAAGAGACCTAGAGATGACAGAGTGTAGAGGAAGATGTGCATAGGTTATATGCAACTACTATGCCATGTTATCTTAAAGACTTGGCATCTGCACGTTTTGGTGTCCTGGGGGATACCTGAGGTGGGGGATGGAGTGTTCCTGGATCCAATTCCCCATAGATACTGTGGGACAAATGTACCTGACAAATGACTTGTGTTTAGAAGAAAGTATTCCTACAAATCATTAAGAAAAAATACTGTATTAATAGGCCAATTTAATAATGGGTTGCTGGGTACGGTAGCACATCCCTGAATCCCAGCACTTGGGAGGCTGAGGCAGGAGGATCTCGCAAGTTGGAAGCCAGTGTGAGCTACATAGTGAGTTCAAGGCCAGTTTAACTACATATGGAGACTCTGTCTTAGCCCCTAACCCCAAAGAAAATAGCTAATGATTTGAATGAACACTTCACAACAGAATAATACAGTGGCCAATATGCACACAAAAAAGTGCTCATCATTATGAGATACAATTATACACCTACAGGATGGCAGTGTAAACCTACATGGAAAACTAGCAGTTTTTACTAAAGCTAACCATACCATATGGTTCTTCCAACCCTAGATTATACCCCCCCCATGGTACATGTTGCCAAGAGAAGACATATATATATATATATATGAATGTTTATACCAGTTTAATAATAGCAAAATACCAGAAATAACTCAAATGCTCATCAACAGGAAAGCGAATTATGATCAGAATAATATCCAACAACAAAGAAATGCACAGAAACATAATTGAACCTCAGAGACAGGCTGAGTGAAGGGAGCCATACACAAGTACATACTGTATGATTCAATTTATATGATTTTGAAGAGTAGGAAAAACTAATCAATGATGATAAAAGTCAGAAGAGTGACGACCTCCTCTAAGAGTATTCTTTGGAAAGGTACACAAGGGAACCTAGAAAGTTCTTAGAATTTTCTGAATCTTTTTCTTTTCTTTTTTTTTGAGACAGTGTCACTATATAGTTCAGGCTGGCCCTTGAACTCACTATTTAGCCCAGGCTGTCCTCAAACTCATAGCGATCCTCCTGCCTCCGCCTCCCGAGTGCTGGAATTACAGGCATGCACCACCATGCCTGGCTTTCTTCAATCTTAATTTGAAAGAAAGTTACACATAAAACATAATCTATGCTGGGGCTGGTGGCACACGCCTATAATCCCAGCACTCGGGAAGCAGAGGCAGGAGGATCACCACAAGTTTGAGGCCAGCCTGGGCTACACAATAAGTTCAAGGCCAGCCTAAACTGCATAGTAAGATCCAGTATCCAAAAAAAAAAAATATCATCTAGGCAGGGAGTGGTGGTGCACACCTGTAATCCAAGCACTCTGAGAGGCTGGGGCAGAAGGACTACAAATTTGAGCCCAGCCTGGGTAGTGAGACCCTAGTTCAAAATAAAAAGGAATAAAAGGGCTGAGGGTATAGCTCAGTGCTAAGTCCCCAGGTTCAATCCCCTGTAACAACAACAACAAAAAAAATCCAGCTGGATTTTTAAGACTAAACATTTACTATGTTTAAATAAATAATGTTTAAATAATGTTTTAATAAAATGTAATATTGAAAACTACACTATAGAAGGCAAGAAAGAACCCACACTACAAAGCAGTAGAAAATGGTAATTATACAGCAAAAGGAAATACATAGCTAAAGGGAGTAAAGTATTTAAAAATAACCTACAAAAGAAATTAATGGTCAGAGGCTATATTGAGATTTTATCTTCACTTAAAATGTATAAAAAAGCTGGGCGTGGTGACACACGTCTGTAATCCCAGCACTTGGGAGACTGAGGCAGGAGGATCCTTGTGTGTGTAAGGCCAGCCTGAGTTACACAGCGAGATTCTGTCTCAAACCTCCCCCCCCCCAAAATTAAAACAAGTGCTACCTTTTCTAACCATTTAAATGCTATCAGTTTGGAAAGTATTTAAATAATTTACATCCAAACACTATACTATACAACCATTAAAATGGAATATCTGAACTGAAAGAGGTTAAGTGAAAAAAGTTATAATCGACATAACCAGTAAGACCTTATTAGCATCGAACAAAACCAGAAACTCACTATGAGTGTATAAATGAAGTGTGATAAAAAAATACAGGGGATACTTTAAAAATTTATTACAGGTCTGGGGATTTAGCTCAGTGGTTTGGCTGCCTGCTGTGCAAGCGCAAGGACCTGAGTTCAATCCTAGGTACCAAAAAAAAAAAATGTATTACAGTAAGACACATTGCCATTAATCCGCCTGAAAATACTCCCCAAGATTCCAACACACACATCCCATCATTCTTGCCATTTTCTGAAGCAATTCTGGAAGCCCTCTTTTGTATCTTTAGCTGCTCTGTTTAGGTTGTTTTGATGTCCTCAGTTGGGCAAAATGTTTAGCTTTCCATGTTCACTTTGCCTTTGGAGAAGAGCCAGAAGTTCCACAGAGAATAAGGTGAATGAGGACACAGTGTAATGTTTTTACCAGCCTGCCTTTCCAGTGGATGGCACTGGACAGCAGCATTCAGATTTTTTTTAATCATACTTTGCAAAGAAATCACATAAAAGGACTTCCAGGCTAGGTGTGGTGGCTTGTGCCTGTAAAACCAGCACTAAGGAAGCTGAGGCTGGAGGACTGCTGTGAGTTCCAGACTTTAAGACCAGCCTAAACTACATAGTGAGACTTTGTCTCAAAAAACTTAAAAAAAAAAAAGACTTTCAAGACTGTTTCAAAAAGTGGCAAGAATGATATGAATAAGTGTGTTTAAAATGAGGGGGAATACTCTGAACTGATTAATGGTAGTAGTGAGGTCTTTTACTGTAATGAATTGTTTTTTGGGGGTTTGTTGTTGGGTTTTTTTTTTGGCTGTACTTGGGATCGAATTCAGGACTTTGCGCTTCTGAGGCAGGTGTGGTGCCACTGAGCTAAATCCCTGGCCCTAATAAATTGTTTTACATTTATACATTCACCATATATTTCAACCATGGCTTATACATCTACAATTACATAATTTACCTTGCTATACTTATAAATACTTTAAAATTATATATTTACATATGTATATAAGTGTGAAAAATCACATCAAATGTTTATAGAGTAGTAACTTTGAAAGATAAACTTTCAACTTTTTTATATTTCTATGTCTGAAAATTTTAAAGCATTATTACTTTTATAATCAACAAAAAAAACAATAGCAATAAAAAATTTTCTTTCAGTTACCTTTTATATGCTCACCTGTAATGCTTTTTCCTTCTCATTTGTCAATTCCTGAGAATGCTTATTTGTCAGTGAGGCTGTGTGTGATGCCCATTCATTCCGTAATTTGTCTAATTCTTGTATTTTTTCTGATAAAGTCTATATTAGAGTTTAGTGCAAAACGTTAAAATAGTCTCCTGAAGCTGTCACATTTCTAATTAGTACAGAGATACTTATAAGATAGTACTCTTAAAGAAAATAAAATTTCAGGTTTTCAAACATATGCAAAGCCTACACAGATGTTTCTCAATTTGAGGAATGGTTAGAATGAAAGCAATACTACTGCTAAAATGTCTCACAGGCCAAGCCTAACTATCTTTAAGCTGTTACATATAAATATCTCTTTGCCACCAATTCCTTTCCTCTGACATTAAAAAAAAAAACGGCAACCCAGGTGGAGCAAATCAGTTTTAAGGAGCACCTTACTTATTTATAAAACACAGTAACATGGTCCAAGAGGGCCATGTTATGCAGGAGCATTTTCTATCTGAAGCCATGCAGCTTATCAGACGTTTTGGCCCTCAATCTCAAGGAGTAGGGGCAAAATGTAGTAGCTACAAATAAAATAATACTAAGCTCATGTGAGAAATTAATTTCAATCATTTTGCCCTTAGCTGCTTTCTCTCCAAATGTACAATCATAACAGAAGAGAATGGTTTAGAAGATAGGACCTTAAAAAGCCATTTTAAAACAGAGAAATGAGGCTAATAAGACAGAAGAGAACTAACATATCACAGATGCTAAATATTATCTTAATTGAAAACTTAAGAGAAAATGTGTCATGTACTGGAGATGAAAGAAATGTTTGGGTGGAATTTAACATCTAAAAGAGAAGCACCAGATTAAGGTAATTAACTAGTAGAGAAAGTGGCAAAAAGGAGAGAAAAACTTAATGGTAGCATACTTTGAAAGAAATACATGAAACCTTGACTTAATTCACTAACCAATACAGAGCCAATGTCTGGATTACTACAAAGATGAAATGAAACGTGAACTACCTTTTTTGTGAGGTTCAGTTGCCTAGTAACATCATCTAGTGATTGTGTCAATAATAATTTTTCTTCCTAGTTATAAAAACAAAAAATTATGCAGTTTACAATTCAATATCTATAGCCATATTACTCAAAGTATAACAAGATACAGCATCAGTATCATCAGAGGATCTTGATAGACAAAATGGCAGACTTTCTAAATCAGAATCTGCATTTTAACAAATCCTCAGATGATCCATGTATTATTAGTAGATGTCCTGATTTATAGCATTTAACTGAAAATTTTTCTAAAATCTCTCAGGTGGCAACACAATGCTGCTTCCTTGTATCATATACCTTATACAGCATTTTGTAATATGTAAGACACTTTCATATATTTCATCTCATTTATGATGAGCTAGATAAGGTAGATATTTCTCATACACAAATGCCAGCTGATTAAATCATGACACAAGAGTTTAAATTCTCAATGCTTGATCCACTTCTATACTTGTACCTCAACTAAATGAAAAAACAGTAAGTTCATTACATACTATAACACTTTAATCAGAAAACAAGAAATAATGGCAACAGAGTTCTTTAGTAACTTATCAAAGTACTGTGGTACCTAGTTTAAAAGAATGACTTAAATGTAAATCTTACCTTGCTACATTTCAAACAGCCTGCTAGAAATTTCTTTATCTCCACATCATTTCCAGGTAAAAGTTTTAGTGAGAGGTGTATAAGATGCTTAAAAGGATTTGTTTCTACCACATTTAAAAATGCGGGTGAGTTATCCAAAATAGCTGCTGGAGAAACTAACTGTAGCAAAAACCTTTGAAAAGAAAATGCCACATTATAACACACTTAGAAGACAGTGAAACTCTCCTACTGAATCATAAGCTCCTCTACTCTGAAAGACAAGGAAAAGGAACATAATGAAATCATAGAAGCTAATGGGAAAGGACTCCCTGTATAAAAGAGAAGGTGAATGGTGGAGAGGTTGAAACAATGAATATATAAAAGTCCTTGAGTTCATAATAAGAATTAAGCATTTGTTCTTTCCCATAAGAACTTTCAGAGTAATCAAGTAGCCCTAACTGATGAGGTAAAGTTGAAAGAATTACACCTAATAGATGTGAAAAGAACTGTAGATTTGGAAAAGCATCATTTTGTAGTTCCTAATGAAATAACTGGTTCCAACAACAATCACTAGTCTTAGTTTTAAAAATAAACAAGAGTAATTATAATACATGGAAAATATTTTGCCATCAACTTGTCTTTCAAAGAGTCTATCTTCAAAGTTTAATTATATACTACTTTTATGCAACTTACCTTGGGATTTCTTTGGCATGTTCTTGAGCACATTGCTGAAGGAGATCTATAAATTTTTGTGGGAAAGCTAAGAAGTCTACCAGAAGACCTTGCTGGAATTTTAAACTACACAAAAGGCAGGAAAAGAAATTTTTAAAATTTAATTACTATCTTTAATCATAATTAATATCCTGATAGATAAATTTACTGAACACCCATTATAATCAAGAACTAAGCTAGGAAACTTTTTAATAGTTTATTCGATGAGAGGAAAAAAGCCAAGAGATTAACCAAAGCTCCAAATTTCTGAGCTGTATTAATCAGAACTCTGATAATATATGAAATACTTATTTTCAAAGACATTCTAAATATCTGTAGAACAAACAGTACCATATTCCCAGAAAATACTAAATGTTCTGAACAGTTACACCTACAAACAACAGGTGTTTCAAAAGGAATAGTGCCAATACATTTTTTAAACTTAGAAACTTAGTCTTAGGTTAAATATAAGACTAGCAAAAGAAAAAATTACTTACCTTTGAAAATCTTCCTCAGATATAACAAGGTTATACAAAAAAAATGGATCTGTATCATCAGTCAGACGAATAACTAAATCCTAAAAGAAATATTTTTAAAAAATGTTTTCAGTAGATTTTAACTACTGAATAACATCAACATATCACAGTTATACTTCAGATAGTTTTGTTTTCTGTTAGTTTTTAGAGACTTAGAATCTTAAATGGCGGGGGGTGGGATTCTGCTCCTTGATAGCTTTACAAAGGTCTGCAAAAGCTAATTACATACTAGCAGTTGAAAATACAGGAATATCATCCTTTCAGAGACATAGCAAAATTTACACCTTTGCTGCACTATGGTATCATGAGAGATACTCCTTACCAGTGGACACACCAAACTCAGCCAGACATTCATTTCCCTTTATTAACTGGCCTGGCACTTCAAAAGAGGTAAATACCCCAGTAGAACTGTCAACAATTATTCACCCTAAGGAAGGAGCTTTTGTCACTCAGGAAGATGAGTGTCAGGTGACATGTTGCTAGGGCTTCTTATAAGGGCCTGTTCTCTCTACTCCAGATGGCTCCTGACGATGATGCCCATATGTTCCCATTTGTCTAACAGAGTGGATTTGTTTCATAAAGACCATTTTCCAGTTTGTTATAGTGTGGCAAATTATCACAGCAGTTAAAGCTATCAGAAAAATACGCCAAAAGTACATACTTCAGAGAACACTGGTGCAAGGGAAATAGCAAAACCACAAGGAAGGAGTAATACAGAATTAAATATTCAAGTTACCAGTAAGTTTGAAATACAAATGTATTTACAATTACTAAGGAACTGCTAGGGTCCTAGAAAAATTTAAACTCTGTAAGTAGAGCTAGAAAATAAAGATGTACAGCAGGCATTAGGAGTAACATGTAAGAAGTATAATATACAGTCTTCACCCTAGAAAATTAGTAGTTCGGGTATTTGATGTGTCAGCATGCCCTGTAAGCAGCTTCTATTTAAGTACTTCTTGAAATTCACCCCAAGATGCTATTCAAAACAAAAATTAAAAAATGTGAAACTCCTACTAATAATACCAGGTACTTGAATGTATTCACAGAAAGCTACAACACAGGGAAAACAAATGCTGGATTTCTTAGCCCCTTGTTGTATATTCTTAACTCTGTTATGTCTCATACTTTTGAAGATCATATGGGACAGAAGCTCTAAATGCTTCTTTTCAAAAGTTACGTAAAAAGTGTCACCCTGTAGCGCTTCAATACATTCTGTTCTCACACTTATACTATGAAATGGCGATTCTTTAAAGCAATAATACATATTCTAGCAACTTTCAATCAGAATAAACCAAAGGAGATTGTTACCGCATGCCCCTTGATTCTTCTTGTGTGCTTCTGAAATAAAAATTACCTTTCAGTTGTTGTCTCAGTCTAGAACTCATCCTGGATTGCAATAGTTCCAAAATTAAAAAGCAAGGTGGATATAACAAGAGATCGAACATTCTTAAATAAAAATTAATATATACAACTCCTCATATTTTGAAAAAGAAATAAATACCAACCTTTCTGTGAACTGGATTAGAAACTGATTGTAGTTCAATGCTCACTCTTACACTTATTCTCCTGTATACAAAGACATGCCAAAACCATCAAAAATATTAACATGAAATTATCTCTATAATTTTTATTAACTAAAGTTTTCAGTCTTAAGCCACAAGATTTTTCATAAATGTTCTCTAACTTATGTCCAAATTTACTAGTTTATTGACTGACTGATTACAGCACAGGGGTGGAATGGAAGGCCTTGTGCATGCTAGGCAAGTGCTCTCCACTGAACTACATCCCCACGCCAGTGTTCAAGTTTTTAAAGTGCACACTGGACTTGAGGTTTAAGTTCTTATTCTTCCACGAATAAGCAACTGTCTCAGTCACTTTTCTTGCTGCTGAGACAAAATTGATGACACTCACTAAAGGAGGAAAAGTTTATTTCAGCTCACAGTTTGTAGAGGTTTTAGTCCATAGTGGGCTGGCTCCAAAGCAGAGCAGCATGGCAGAAGGGCATTGCAGGAGAAACATGTCATCTAGTACCAAGCAGAAGGCAGCAAGCAGCAGCAGCACCCAGCCTGCCTTTCCCTTTTGTCGGTCCAGGCCACCAGCATTCTTGGGTGGAGTCACCCAGCACTATGCTAATTCCAATCAGTGGACTAATTTAGTGCCACCCACCCTTAATCCCAATGTCACACCCTAGATTCAGCCAGCTCCAAAATCCCCACCTACCAGCACATGAGGCTTTAGGGGACATCTAGATACAAGCTATAACAACCACTATTAGTTTTTAAACTAAATTTTCCTCACATATCAAATGGGGAAGGTATGAGGATAAATGGGATAAACAATGTGCAGTGTCTAATACTATTCTGGTATATTACCTTAGTGCTCTGATTCTAAAACAGCATCTATTGAAAGACAAACCATCACAACCTTTCCATTAAAAAAAAAATTACCATTTCAAGTGATCAAATTGATTATCCAAGATTTCACTTAAAACACTTAAAATGTAAATATTAGACTATTTAGAATCAAGGAAATAACATTCTATACACTTTTGCACATACAAAATTTTTTTTCAGATACCCATACTAAATCTGCTTAATAGAGTCTCTTTGCAACATATTGACAAGTTCATTGTTTTTGAAAAATCTTGTTCTTGATCTGTTTGTGAAAGAAACATGTTACACTGTCATTATTTGAGGTACTATGGAGTTGATTTTTGTCGAAGATTTATTCAGCCTTCAGGTCAGGTGATATAATGCCATAACATTTTATTTGGAGATATTAGTATTTTAGAATTTAAAAAAAACAAAAAAACCCATATTGACAAGTTCATTATTATCTATCACATACTAGAGCAGTGGTGGCAAACCTACGGCACATGCAAGCCGAACTGCCCCTGCATCACACCAGCAACAACTAACAGCTCACAGAGGGCCCATGCGCATGCCTGGAAAGGAGTAGCAGAGCCAGGTGATGATGTCAGGAGCCAACTCATTAGCCGCTGACTCCTCCGCTGACTCCACCGAGCTTTCACATGGCCCGTCAGTATTCAGATGTAATCAGTATTCAGATGTAATCGCACTTTTGGCATTTTGCAGTAAATAAGTGGCTTTGGGTTGCAAAGGTACTAGGTCTCTAAAAGGTTTACGGTCACTGTCCTAGAGTTGCTAAGGTCTAACCAGGAGAAACCACAGCCTTCCACACTCTCAGCTGCAATTTAAAGAGAATTCAATACTATACAGAGGGAGGTGTGTGTGTGTGTGTGTGTATATATATATATAATCATTAATCAAATTGAGAAAAAATGTTTAAATAATTAAGAAAATGAAGAGAAAATTAGTGAAGAACATTTATGCACAAATAGTTTGAATTCAATACCAATAGCCTTTCTCTCCCACGGAAGGCAAAAAAAGTAAATTACCAAATAGAATTTGTTCAATTTTGACTTCTAAAGATTTGTTATAATTTTTTTCTACATTCTATTACTTATCTACTACAGAAATAAAATGTATAGATGAAAAAATTTGGAAACTGTTGGCCAAGATCCAATGGTTTGGATTTTGTGGTGCTCTAATTTGTCATCTTGTATTTTTAAGAAAACATGTTATTTAAAGTTTCTTCTTAAACATACATGAATGCTAAATCTTAGTTCATATGAGGTTAAGTTACCATAAAGTTGTACTTGTTACCTAAAAAATCATAGCAGTGCTACTCAATACTGTAAAGATAGGAAGAATTATTTTACAAGAGAATATCTTGTTTCTATATTTCTAGTTTTCTAGAGCAATGTATGTGAAACAAATTAGAGTCCTTCCACTTAAGCCTTTTTGGGAGAAAAAAAATCCCCAATTTGCTAGTTTGTAAGATAAGTGGATTCAATTAGATGATTTGTGACGAACTTTTTAGCTATACAATGTCATTATGCTTAATTTTTTGCTGGGTGTGGTTGTGCATGCCTATAATCCCAGCACTCAGGAAGCTGAGGCAGGACAATCGCTGTTAGTTTGAGGCCAACTTAGGTTACACAGTGAGTCCAAGGCCAGCCTGGACTACATAGTTTCAAAAAAAATTTTTTTTCTCTACCATGTAGTATGACATTCACTTGATACCTAACTTTTTATGGTGCTTTACAGATTTAGAAGTCTTGTCATACTTCATAAATTTGTAAAACTTTCAAGAATCTATTTAATAAGATATCCTTTAGATAATTCTAAGTTAGATTACTGTGATAATTTACCAAACATATTAATGATATTGTTGCACACATTCAAAATGCTTTTATCAACCGGGCATGGAGGCCCACACTTATAAACCCAGGGCTCTGGGAGACTGAGGCAAGAGGATCGCAAGGTCAAGCCCAACCTGGGTGACAAACAAGCCCAATTTCATCTCAAAATAAAAAAGGGCTGAGAATGTAGTTCAATCCTCAGTATGGAGTGGGCTGGGGGATAATATGTATTAGATGATTGGAGAAAAATAGAGAAAAGGCCATAAATTAAACATATTCCCCAAATTTACTTCAAAAACCTCCCTAAAAATACATTATAGAAAAATCTGAACTTTCAGGGGATATACTCTCTGAAATCACAAATTTTATTTTCTCCATTATAATGGCTAATGATATAAGAGCAATATTAATCAATAAAACTTCAGTAAAAGATACTGTTTCTCATCTCAGTATCACACTCTAAACATTGCATAGATCTACATAACATCCTCTAGGTCAGTTAGATATAGCATTCTTTTCAATAAAGAATATCTTAAACATCAGACATTAGCAAAACTGGATTCTAGCCTGTTCTTGTCACCCAGTAGCTGTGACCTTAAACTCTAGATTCAAACAATTAAAAGCTACTCTAAGCCAGGTACTGTGCTGGGTACTAAAGATACAAACAGAAATAAACATGGTCCATGTCCTCAAATTGAGGTCAGATTAAATGACTTTTCCCTAGATTTGCTTCTGACTATATTTTAGGGTTTCAAGAGAAGAGAAAGGTTACTAACACTTATTGAGTACCTACAGTACTGAGTACCTAGAAGGTTCTTTACATATATCACCTTATTTAGCAACAATAACCTTAAGTAAATATTATCTCTTTTACAGAGGAAGATCCTGTGGCACATTGCAAAGCCCAAATAACAATTCAGATCTCTAACCTCCACACATCTAATAAATGAATGACAACTGGTTTCAATTTAAGTAACTTTGAAAGGTCTTTACAGTGAAGAGATTTAAGACGCACCTTGGAGGTTATGAATAAGCATCTGAGGCAGAGGGAATAGCGCGAGTGGAGTAAAGGTATGGTATAAAGAGAGTATAGCAGAGGATAACAAGAATTCTCATGTGACTAATATACTGGAGAGGGGAACTTAGGATACGAAACTGAAAAAGTAAGTTGTATCAAATCACAAGCTTCAAAACTGCATCACTTTCCTCTAGGTAGAGTTCCCTGATCATTAGCATTATCCTCAACTGAATTTCCTTCTCTGTGACTTTATTTATATTACTTTATGCACTAATCAACTTTAATAATAGCTGATGTTTATTAAACTCTAATGAATCATAAATTTAAAGATGAGGCAGAAGTTGAATAAATTGTATACCATAAGGGTTAGGGGTGTAGCTCAGTGGTAGACTTCTTGCTCAGCAAGAGGAGCAAGGTCTTGGGATCAACACTCCCAACACCTCCTTCAAAAAAGACAGTCTGGCTCTAGAGTCTGAACTCAACCTGTGCTATGCTGCATCTCCAAGGGAAATAGTTTTCAAAGTGTAAGGTCCTAGGATTGAACACAGGGCTCACGCATGCTAGGCAAGTGTTCTACTGCTGCGCTACACCCTTAGCCCTTTATTTCTGTTTTGAGACAGGTTCAGGTTCTAAGTTGCCCAGACGGGATCCTCAAATCGTCCTCCTGTCTCAGCCTGCCAAGTAGCTGGGATTACAGACATGCACTACCATGCCTGGCTCCAAGGGAAATCTTTTGATTTCCCCTATTAAAATGTGAGTTCCTTCAGGGCCACAAAGATAACCGTTTCTTATTTTTATGGCTTGGCGCCCCCTCCTTGTCCCCCACCCCCACCCGGCGTAGTCTCAGCACCTAGGACAGCTCCTGATGTGTAGACGGCAACGGCAAATATTTGTTAAGTTGAACGGGCCTTGAATGCTTAACTGACAAAAATGTAGGTTACTCTTCAAATAGGTCAGGGGCCACCATATTACTCTGTAAAGGGCCTGCAAGTCATATTTTAGGCTTTGCAGGCTACTGAGTCTCTGTCACAATCACTCAATTCTTCCTTTTTTCTTTTCTCTCTCTTTTTGTAATGCTGGGCATAGAATCCCGGGCCTTACACCTACTATGCAAAAGCTATATCCCCAGCACTGCCATCATAAAACTCATAATACAATTACTCATTTCTGACCCTGTCATGCAAAAGCAGCCACAGACAATTTGTAAGCAAATAAGTATGGCTGTGTTCCAATAAAATTTTATTTACAAACAGTGGGGCATCTCTTCCTCAGGCTCTACTTTGCTGAGCCCTGGTATAGGTGATAGGAATATATGATAGATTTCTAAACACAAAGAATAAAAAGATTAAAACTGTTTTAAGAAGATTAACTGTGGTGGCACATCATGTAATCCCAGCACTCCAGAGACTGAGGCAGGAGGATCACCATGAGTTTGAGACCAGCCAGGGCTACACAGTGAGTTCAAGGCCAGCCAGAACTACTTAGCGGGGACCCAGTCACAAAAACAACCACACCCCCTCCATACACACAAATTAAAAAAAAGAAGATTAACTGTGATGACAGTAAGATGAATAAGAGCTGGCAGTTTCAATATTACTATCAGAAGTGATACTCCCTTTTATTGTCTTTGTATAATCATTCTAGGACAATGTTGCCTAATAGAGATACAATGCAGACCACAAAATGTAAGTCGTATGTAATTCAAAATTTTTTAGAAGCCTGTTAAAAAAAACCTAGTAGGTATAATTAACTTTAATATTAATTTTATTTAACCCAACACACCCCAAATTTTGCCATTTAGGTATATTTGAAATTGTTGTGAACTTATAGATAATTTTTCATTTTCCTAATATCTAAGTAGGTATAAAGTAATTTAATATTAATTTTATTTAACCCAATATATTCAAGTAATATGATTTCAATATGTAATCAACACTTCAAAACTTAATGAAATACTATACGTTCTTTTTTCAAATTAAATCTTCAAACTGAAGTGTGTGTTT